GTACTGCCCCGTTCAAAATATAGTTCGAAAACGGGTTAATAGTTCGAAATATATCGCGCGTTAATTGTCCCATATTAGCCAAAATGGCAATTTTTCAACCCCATAATTTTACAAAAAAATGATCACAGGTAAAATATCTTTTCAAATTTAAGCTCAGGGCAACAATACTTTTTGAAAAAAACCCACCCCGGGCACAAATTTTCTGTTTTTTTAAAGTCGGAAAAATAAAACAACTCGGGTCAAAATAACGAACGATCTGACTGCCCCTTTATTTCTATCAAGTGACCAGAGTTCGCAATGTGTTGAATTTAAGATCAAGTCAACAGCATCTTTGAGATGGTTTAAGAAAAAAATTGTGAAAAATTTTCAGATACAAAGTCGAACTTTGCTGAATACGAATTCTAGCCAAGGCATAAATTTTCCTTCATTTTTTGGTATATAAACAGAAGGGACTAGTTGTTTTTAAATGAGAATAAGACTTCTCGTATCAGGACGAAGCCCTGAAAGTTCCGACTGCCTATTAAGGTTTATGGAGCAGTAATAACATCAAAAAATTAAAAGTAATAAAAAAAAAACGATTTTTTTTTCTAAAATTTGAATTTTTTTTTTGAAATTTATCCCCCTACACGCCATATAAAGTAAAAAGGATAGATTTCGCTACTTGTAACAAACAATTATGGCAAATAAGTTTCTTTCAACCAATTTGGAACGATTTCTAAGACGGATTAACTCTCCGCTTACGCGTTAATAACGCGAAATATATCGCGCTCTAATTGTCCCAAATTGGCCAAAATGGCAATCTCTAAACCCCCATAACTTTACGAAAAATGATCACAGGTGAAATATCTTTTCAAATTTGAGCTCAGGACAACAATATCTTTTGAATGATATAAAAAAGTTCCGTCAAAAATGGCTAGACAAAAAGTCGAAATTTGTCTGAAGAAAAAAAAACCCACCCGAGCACAAATATTCCGTTACTTTCGTATCGAAAGTCGGAACAACAACAAACTCCTAGAGATTGGCAGTTTCTCACAATATCAGCAAAACTCTCGCGTTTATGCAAAGAATTCAAACAGTAGCCAGAAAGCAAAAAATGTTAACATGATAGTCTGAAGTAGAATTCCTTGATGTTGAACTTTATACCAAGATTCAATTGACATCATCAGACACCAGAACTGATTTTTAGGAATTGTGCATATCAAATAGCTTTTAAGTTTTAGAGAAAACATGCCAAAAACGTGTTTGTTCCAAAAATGTTGGCCATGAAATCGACGGCGCTTTTAATAAGATTTTTGATGCTCGACCAAAAATGAGTGTCGGACAATAATACCAAAAAAGACGTATTCGTTAGCTTGCATCTAGTATTTTAACCAGGAAAACAATTAGCATTTTTGAGCCAGATTAAGTGGCCGCCTACGCTTTGATCGGACAAAACAAATCGCGCATTAATTATTTCCAATTAAGAACAAATTTTAAGCAAGGTTGAGTAACCGCTAACGCTTTAGTTGCAAAAAACATATCGCGTGTGAATTTTTTCAAAGTGGCCCTATTGGCAATTTCCAAACCCCCTATCTTTGCCAAAAAATGATCTCAGCAGAAACGGTTTTTTGGAATTTGGGTGTCAAGATATAAAAAAATCCGTTCAAAATTGGCTAGTAAAAGCCAACTTTTGTCTAAAGAAAAAAAGGAACACCGAGCATGAATATTTCATCCATTTTCGAATGTCGGAACGATGTGCCAAGCAAAACTATCACTACACGACTGAAGTCTTAACGCGTGCTTTTTGTATCGGCGGTTCATAATTGTTCTCGCTAGAATTCATAGCTAGAAAAACCAAGGTCACAACTAATGAATTTTCTGGTGAACGAAAAAGTGTATGAAAAAAGACAAAAACTGAAAGATTGAAACAAAGTTCACAAACTGTTCAGGCGCTATTTTAAAAATGACTTTTTAATGTTTTCATTTTGCGTATTTTATGACATTGAATTCAGCTTTTCAATACCGAAATTTATGGCAGTTCGTTATTCTTTGTTGACTTGTAATTTCCGATAATTACGGTTAATTTACGTATGAATTGAAATGTTGTCAATCGGCCAGCTACCAAAACCGATCTGCCTCAGAACCGAAACGAGGCAGAAATATGGTCCGCCGACCCGGACAGGAGAAGTTCCTGGATTTGAGAGCTGATCCGGCTGACCTTGGAACTCTTACCTCGTCTCTCTCTGTTGGGGGGCGAGGATTTTCTCGCTAGAATTCATAGCTAGAAAAACCAAGGTCACAACTAATGAATTTTCTGGTGAATGAAGAATTGTATGAAAAAAGACGAAAACTGAAAGATTGAAACAAAGTTCACAAACTGTTCAGGCGCTATTTTAAAAATGACTTTTTAATGTTTTCATTTTGCGTATTTTATGACATTGAATTCAGCTTTTCAATACCGAAATTTATGGCAGTTCGTTATTCTTTGTTGACTTGTAATTTCCGATAATTACGGTTAATTTACGTATGAATTGAAATGTTGTCAATCGGCCAGCTACCAAAACCGATCTGCCTCAGAACCGAAACGAGGCAGAAATATGGTCCGCCGACCCGGACAGGAGAAGTTCCTGGATTTGAGAGCTGATCCGGCTGACCTTGGAACTCTTACCTCGTCTCTCTCTGTTGGGGGGCAAGGATGTTCTCGCTAGAATTCATAGCTAGAAAAACCAAGGTCACAACTAATGAATTTTCTGGTGAACGAAGAATTGTATGAAAAAAGACGAAAACTGAAAGATTGAAACAAAATTCACAAACTGTTCAGGCGCCATTTTAAAGTTGACTTTTTAATGTTTCCATTTTGCGTAATTTATGACAATGAATTCTGCTTTTAAATACCGAAATTTATGGCAGTTCGTTATTCTTTGTTGACTTGTAATTTCCGATAATTAAGGTTAATTTACGTATGAATTGAAATGTTGTCAATCGGCCAGCTACCCGAAACCGATCTGACTTCAGAACCGATACCAGGCAGAAATAATAATTTATAGTTTATCAAAACTTTCCGTTCTAAATTAGTTCGAGACAAGTTAAAGGGAAGTCGAAACCTTCAAAACTCTGCTTTTTTATACGGTCGCCTCTGATTATATAGATATCGTGAAATTATTTTGAAACCAAAATTTTATGTTTTCTCCAAGACTGTTTTTGGCTCTTTTTCTTTTTTCTCCCACCTCACACAAACATGAATTTTATAATGTAACGAGTGGTTTTACAAGGTTGTTTATGAAAACCAAATATGTTTGTCAGAACCTAATTAGTCCGTATGTCAATTTCCAAAACAATAGAACAATGTGAACAAAATTTTTTCTTGTAAAATTTTTCAGGTGAGGGAAAACAAAAAAGAGCCGTTTTTTCGATGGAAATGTTAAGGCAGTCTCGAAGACTTTTGTCTGTCTGCCGCTAATAGTACATTTACTTGTGAGGCGTGTTTTATGTAAGATCAAATGCTTTTTTCAAATAAAAAGAGTTTGAATTTTGAGTGGTGTCTTCTCTAATAAGCGAAAAAAACATAGATATTTTCTATTTGAGGGCTCATTATTCTGATCAAAGTGTATTATTTCTGTTTTTGCGATTCAATTTATCAATCAAACTTGGCAGAAATTTTCACGCTTAAAGTAATATTCTATAATTAACTGTTCTGTTGTTCGTCTATCAAAGAAAACCTCAAGACTATGAATACCATTTGGATTCAGCAACGTTGCGTGCTCTTTTTGTCAACGTCAAAAATTAAAAACAAAAACAAAACAATGGTAGCAAAAAAAACGCTCAATTTAATTAAACTCATGCAAAACAGATGACAGAAAAAGAATTGAATGAAAATTGCATTGAAGTTTCCCTACGGAAAACAAAAATGAAACTTGCCTTTGAATTCAAATAGTCAGTCAAACATAAGTTTAAAGTTGAAATTTAAAATGTGTGTCAGTGGTTAATTGGTAAACAATTTCGAGTTTAAAAGATCTCTCGAAACCACCAATATTCATTTTTTCGTTCTTTGAAAAAGTTTATTTTTACCTTTTTATGGAATGGTTGAACGAAAACTTTCTTTTTGCCGGCCCTTCTTTTTGTTGGCCCAAATTGACTTTACGGGGTTTCCTGAATTGTTGATTATTGGTGCCTCGATTTTAGAAGTTTCAAATTATTTTTCGTTAAAAATTTGGTGCTGCCAATAATGAAGAGGCAAAAAATTTGGGTAAAAAGGGTACGTGGAGACTTTGGCGGTGAAAGGGTCGAATTCACCAGCAGATTTATGGGGGGGGGGGGGGGTAGTGTACGCTCCTCCTCCTCAGGAATGCGACCCCCTGCGGACACAAAGAGTCCCGCCTTTGTACTATTTTGAGATATCCATTTTTGGTGACGGACCCTATAATTTTTCTCAAGGCGCTTTTGGGCGCCAATGTAATACCAACTTTTTTGTTGGGGGGGGGGGGGGGGATTTTTTATTCAAATTTTCTAAAACTTGCCTAAAAACGCTTTTTTGGCATGTTTTTTCAAAATTTTGCCTATGCGCAGAAAATTTGGTCAAGATAGGGTCTTTACAGTGATTTAGGAGAGCTCAGAAAATCAATTTGGTCGACCTAAAAAAATGAAGACAAATTTTTTTTCGAAATTTAAAAAAAAAATCCGCCCCTACCCCTGGAAAAAATCCTAGATCTGCCTCTGATCGAATTTATGAAGGGTTTGAACACCAACCCAAATGGAAAAAATTCGAGTTATATAGTAATTTATAGTGGTGTGCGCGGGAACTCAGGAGTTTTTGAGGGGAGGGGAGACGTTCAATTGATGATGAGCAGAGCACGCAATGTAAGTTGATAAAAGTGGCAAGTGAAAACTATATAATTTGAAAAATTGAAAAACTATAGATTGAATTAGTAACCTGTGAGCCAAAATTGCTCCCGGATTAGTGTTGCTATTAGCGGTGTTGGGACTGACTGCAGCATTGCTATTGTGGCCACTGATGCTGCTGTTATTAATGTTGTTGCTGTTGATGTCATTTTTACTGTTCTGATTGCCAGTGTTGCTCAGACAATGAGCTACTTTAGGTCTACTGGTGCTGGCAGTCATCACAGTCACATCACATGATGATTGCGCTGACTTGGCTAGTTCAATATGTTCACTTGGAGGGGTTTCTTCGACATCTCCAGTCGTGCAGTTGTTTACGACACCTGTAAAACGAAACGCTCAAAGTGTTCTAAAAAAATCAGACTAAAACGATTCAATTGCGTCGAAAGGTGAGATGTTTTTACTTTTTGACTTTATTTTATTGTTATATTTTAATTATATATTTTGATTGATATAACAAAGTTTTTGAGATCATATGTTGTTTTAACCAACAGAAATTACAAGTAAGCAATCACAAAATGCTTGCTCGAGTTGAAAAATCATTTGAAATTTACAGCAGAGAAAAATTTTTGAGATATTTTTAAGTTTTGCGACCAAACAAGTGCGGATGCGAGTGTTACAAATTTCATGTGTGACAAGCAATTGATGTCGTTTGCAACAATCAGCCGGATTTGAAAGGCCAAGAGTTTTTTGTCAAACTCCATCTGCAACATATTTCCAATTTAATTTGATTTTGTGATGCACAGCACTGACATAGCAATTTCCTCGGATTATTTACACAATTTTTCTTACGTAAATTGGCTTAAAATAACATGTTGCTTTTTCTAATTGACTAATTATCGCCAGCATTAGACAAATCAATTCTTCCGCCCAAAATTTTTGTTTCAAATTTTGAACTGAAATTATAAGGCTTTAAATTGATTGACTGAAAATAGCAAAACAGATTCAAGCGGCAGTTTGAAACAATCTACTTACAATTTTTTGCAGACAATTAAATCATCCGAACTCACCGAAAAGAAAAACAAACAAGACTACTCGTATCAGGGCGAAGCCCTGAATGTTCCGACTGCTTTTTAAGGTTTTATGGAGCACCAATAACATCAAAAAATTAAATGTATCAAAATAAATTTAAAAATTTTTTTCTTAAATTTAAATTTTTTTTTATTAAAATCATCCCCCCACACGCCATATTAAGTACAAAAGGATAGATTTCGCCCCTCGTAACAAATCAATTATGGCAAATAAGCTTCTTTCAAACAATTTGGAACGATTTCTAAGACGGACTAACTCTCCGCTTACGCGTTAATAGCGCGAAATATATCGCGAGCTAATTGTCCCAAATTGGCCAAAATGGCAATCTTTAAACCCCCATAACTTTACAAAAAATGATATCAGGTGAAAAATCTTTTCAAATTTGAGCTCAAGACAACAATACCTTTCGAAGAAATAAAAAAATTTCCGTCAAAAATGGCTAGTTAAAAAGTCGAAATTTGTCTGAAGAAAAAAAACCCACCCCGAGCACAAATATTCCGTTGCTTTCTTATCGAAAGTCGGAACAAAAATAATTTCCAGAGGAAAAACACTATGAACACCCTCACATTGGTACCAACTTAGGATTTAGAAAAAATTACTGAAAAAATACTTATTCGCACTACGAGACCAATCAGGGCATATCATATTTATAAGTTTATAATAACTTTCTGATTTCTTTTGAAGTGATCAAGTCCGCTAATAACTCCAAAAAGAAAGAAGTTTTCATTTTATGAATCCCTGAATTTTTGGTTATTTTGTAGTGAATGGGCATAAAAGACCAGAAGGGAGTTTTTACCGCCAAGTTATTTTCGTTCATTTTGTTAAATTTTTGCTTGCAACGCATGCAGAAGGTTTTTCCTTTAACAAAAAGATCAAATGATATCAGTTTCAATACAAATCTAAACACAAGTCTTATCGTATGAGGGCAAAACCCAGAATGTTTCGACAGCATAAAAATTATATGTGTTAGTTTAAATTAAAATAGATATTGAATATTAAAAAAAAAACAATTTTTTTTCGTAGGTAAACCCCTCACACGCTATGTAAAATACAAAGTGATGTTTTTGTAAGCAGCAGTTTGTTAAATTGACAAAATAGCATGGCTCATTTCAATCTGGAACGACTTCTAAGACGGATTAAACCTCGGCTCACACATAAATAGCATGAAATATATGGTGCGATGATTGTCTTAAACCCGCCATAATGGCGATTTTTAAACCCCAAAAAAATGATCACATATGAAATATCTTTAAAGTCAAGACATTTAATATTTTAAAAATTAAAAAAAAAACTTATAAAATACCAAAAAACTCCAATTTGCTGGTTAAAAAACACTGGAGAAAAAACCGAGCACAAATATTCTGTCACTTTCTTCGAAAGTCGTAAAAACAGTAGTAAGTTTTTTTTTCAGTATTTGTTTGTCTATAGCCAACTGTGGCGTAGTGGTTTACCTCAAAATCAATTTGCGAAACTTACTTCGCTTTACCCATCGCCAGGCAACAAAAAACTACTGGTAATCTTATGCCCTAGGTTTTGCAACGATCACGTACATTTAAATTGACAAAATGTTTGAGAATATCTGTCACATTTATGGGAACCACCAAGCGAACCCATACAGAGCTCTTTTTGTGAATACTGACTTTTTGTGAATTTATTTTAAAAAATTCTTTTCGAAATACAATATTACCACAAACTGAAATACTATACACCCAAAAAAACCAGAAATTGATTTTCATCCGTAAATTTTGAAAAGCAGAAATCATGAATTTTTATCATATTTTTCTTATCATAGGTCAACTTTTCTAAAATATGTTTGTTTTTGACAGTTTAAACCAGTTTTCACCATGCAGAGGAAAGCTTTCATCATACAATTTTCTTTTAGGAAAAATTAAAAGAACTGTTAAACAAAATTGGACCCTCCAAAAATGATGCGTAGTATTTATCTGAATTTCTGTGGCCTCAAAAACAACTGTAAATGAATTTAAAGAAAAATCAGTCAACTGTAAAATTGCTGTAAAATTGGTTTGTAAAAAACAAAAATAAGGAAAATTTTTGAAGGTTGTTCAACTTGAGTGGATTAGTGTTCTGACTTTCGATACGAAAGTAACGGAACATTTGTACTCGGGGTGGGTTTTTTTCTTCAGACAAATTTCGACTTATTAACTAGCCATTTTTGACGGATTTTTTTAATCATTCGATATATTATTGTCCTGAGCTCAAATTTGAAAAGATATTTCACCTGTGATCATTTTTCGTGAAGTTACGGGGGTTTAAAGAATGCCAGTTTGGCAATTTTGGGACAATTAACGCGTAAGCGGAGAGTTAATCCATCTTAGAAATTGTTCTATTTTGTTGAAAGAAGCTTGTTTGCCATAATTGATTTGTTACAAGGAGTGTAATCTATCATTTCGTACTTTATATGGCGTGTGGGGAATGATTTTTAAACGAAAATTTCAAATTAAAAAAAAAAATTTCATTCTATTTTTTACATTTATTTTTTATTGTTATTACTGCTCCATAAACTTTTAAAGGCAGTTGGAACATTGAGGGCTCCGCCGTGATAGGAGCAGTCTTGTTAGCTTTTTCCATGAGAAAGATTGCTATGACTTATCTGAATTTCATTAAGCTAAAGATGCACAATCAAAGTCAATGAATCGCTCAATCGGCACTTCTTGTTCGCTCAATAGACAAAAAAAATGTGAGCAAAAACAAAACATTCTAGATTTTTATCAAATTTTTTAGCTGGGCAGCTTTTTTTCTGAGGTTAAGAACCGGGTAAGCATAAGATTAGTTTTGATAATTTAAAAATATCGGTTTACGTGACAAAAATGTCAATGGAAAGAAATTAATTGCTTTGTGATATATGTTTTTCTATCATACAATAACGTTAAAAATCAGGAAAACTATGCTTCAAAAAGATCCTTGGTTTTCTAAATGAGATTTCTGAAGACGACAAAAAAAACTAAATTTTTTGTTTAAATTTGTACTAGTGATAAATAACACTGTTTGGCTTCTAAAACCTTGATTTGTTAACTATAAGTTTAACGTTAACGCATACAATATGCAATTTATACGTAAATCGATTGCTGCAAGTTCTCTGTAAGGGCATATATAGCTCAAATTTGGAGAAATTGATATCGTTTTTTTTTATTTAACATTTCAGTGCTTTCATTGAAATTTATTCATGTAACAAGAAAAAGAAGCGGTTAGTGTATGAAGTTTCACTTCAAAATTGATCAGGTGATATAGAAAAAAGCGCAAATAAGTCCAACATGTAGTTTGAATTCCATGTTTCAACAATTTTCAGGAACAAGATTATAGAGCCTTACTTAAAAACGAAAAAGAATCAATTTATTCGAGGAAATGTACTTGCTCCATTCTAAATATCAAATGGAAATGAAATGCAAAATTAACATAGAAGACAATAAATCCATTTTCTACCAACTTTTGCCTTTTTTCAAGGGAAACTGGGGGAATTCAAAACACTAAATATCCCTTAGCACTCTTCGTGTTCTTATGCACAAACAAGTAAAAATTCTTTTCTTCAGACAAGTTTTGGCTTTTTAACTAGCCATTTTTGACAAAAATTTTGTAAATATCATTCAAAAGGTATTGTTGTCCTGAGCTTAAATTTGAAAAGATACTTCACTTGTGATCATTTTTCAAAAAATTATGGGAGTTTAAAGATTGCCATTTTGGCCAATTTGGGACAATTACCGCGCGATTTATTTCGCGCTATTAACGCGTAAGCGGAGATTTAATCCGTCTTAGAAATTGTTTCAAATTGGTTGAAAGAAACTTATTTGCCATAATTGTTTGGTACATTGAGCGAAATCTATTTTTTTGTACTTTATATCGCGTGTAGGGGGATGATTTTATAAGAAAAATTTCAAAATTTAGAAAAAAATTTCATTTTGTTTTGTAACTTTTAATTTTTTAATGTTATTACTGCCCCATAAATCATAAAAGTCACTCGGAACATTCAGGGCATTGCCTTGATATGAGCAGTCTTGTTTATTTTTTTCAGAAGCTTTCATAACATAAATTTTGGTGGAGTTTCGATTAAAATGAAATTAAATCAAACTATTATATAAAGCACTTCTTCAATTTAAAACATTTAATTGAAATTAATTGCAACACATAAGTAGAAATCACGTAACCTCATTTTTCTACCCTTTCTCACTTTAGCGAGTTTGAGTGAGAAAAACAGAAGTCAAAGAGCTATGGGAGTGAAAATTTTGCCAATTTGGCCCTTTTGGCCAATTAACGCGGGATATGCTGCGTGCTGTAA